GTGACAACTTGCAAGTCTCATGGCTTTGCTGAGAGAAAACCTGTCTTGCAGTGAAAACTTTCAACTAGTTCTGTCTTTTGACCTGCTTTTTATTTAGCAGTGCAGACGAGGAAGATGTCCCTGCCCATGAAAGGAAGGTTGGAACTAGATGATCTTTAAGATCTTTTCAAACCAAATCATTCTGTAATTCTATGATTGTATAAGCACACAAATTTGTGATTATGCTACGTGTCAACTTAAAACCTCTTTTGTAGAGAGATCTACCTGTAGTTGTGACATTCAGTGTGCCATTATCTTGGTAAAACCCAGTCTTTCCGAGTTTCTTGGGAAACAATTAAAAAAGGCGCATATTCTTAACAGAAGATGTTTCATTGGATCATATGGACCAATGATGCAGATAGAAAACTCTGCAAAATTCACTTGGCTCTAGCTGCTACTAAGTACAAATATTACTGCAGGACTTTGGCAACAAGTCAGCAGCTGAGAAAGCTCTCACTGCATCATAGTAAAGTCAATGTCACCACACATTAAATGTTTACCGTTTTTTTCGTTTTTACCAATTAAAAAAAAGAAGTATGAAATTGCAAAATAAATAAGAAGAAATCCTAAATTCTGAATTTTCCACCGACATTCCTGCTTTGCAAACTCAGCCAGTTGTCTAAAAGCCAACCTTTGTCTTTGCTAGTGTAGTCCAATAGCTCAGATACTAAGCAGTCTGCAACTAGAGCCAAAGTGTGAACATTTTATCAGTTATATCTCAGCTAGAATATGGTTCACTTTCTAACAGAAATACAGTAAAGAAAAGGCATTTTATAACGATAAGAAAATAAATCAGTATGAGGTCAGAATGCTTCCTATACAAAGACCTGTTGAATTTTAAGATACCATTTTATTTATATATTATTTATATATTTATTTATATAGCTATTATTCTGACCATAACCATGTTTTCAACAGAGACCACAGGCGGTTTAAAGGAATACTTCAATGTCACATATGTCTCTATTGAGAATGTGATTAATATCAAAGCAGGGTACAATATAAGAGCTGAATCTTGCATTGCTGCTCATTCAGTGCTGGTGATGTGAGTTACCGAACTCAAGGACACTCTTACTTCTTCATGGACAGAAAATCCATGCTAGTGCTTTTTTCTGTGCACTGACAAAAACCATATGGATAGGAAAAACTTACACTCCAAATCAATGTAGGTTAACATGACAATGTAAAGACAGTAACCGTTTAAAACTCTGCTTTATCTGAATCTTAAAAAAGAGTGAAATATATGGAGAAAGATTTCTGCTTTGAAAGTTTTCAACTGACTTCCAAGTGATAGCAGAAATATTTCAAATATGAATTTCTATCAGAGGAGGTGCATTCTTGAAATGTTCACAACTACATGGATAGCTTTTTCTACTTATGAGCATGTACAACTCTTATGAACATCAAGACAGACAGGCTATTTAAATTGTGACAGCCTTTTCATTTGCTAACAGAATTTCTTATAATGTGGATGTGTTGTTAAACTTATAAATGATAGAATCTGAGAAATAAGAAAAGATTTCAAATCAGATTCAAACTCCATTTCCAATGTCGCTTATGACAACTCTTGTCTGTGGCATAGTAGAAGTGGAGACTTTGTTGGCTCTAGAACCTTTTGAGAGGCAAAGCAGGACACAGTTTTGAATAAACACTGGAGTGTAAGTACCACAGGACCATCAGCACAGTCTGGGGAAGGTTACTTCTTAAAGACTATCCGCATTGGTTCCACATACTTACAAACAGTCTAAATGAGGTGTATAGTGATTCTCATTATAAGTGACTTTCTTCTCTGGGTAGCAAAGGTGATAGGATGGTGTGATTCACAGCAAATGTCCAAATGATGTCTTTTGTGCTTTAACTTTTGCAGTTAAATCTAAATCCCAGTTAGATCCGAGTGGATCTATTTAGATGAAAAATTACATTGTTCTCCAGTGAACTTGAAAAGTTACTGACCACACTGGACTTGGCCCGTGAAAAGTGTATAAGCACCTGCTTAACTTTGAAAATAGCTGCAAACCACTATTGCTCCAATTTAAATCCTGTATAAAGGATTTGCTTGCAGATCATTTGCAATCCTTGTAAATGGGAAACAGTCTGAAGAAATATGAACTGGAACAAAGCCAAAGCGACTCTGGATGTTACCACAGATAAGAGCACATCCAACTGGCAA